GATACATAATAACTGTATTATATTGGGACTAGAATTATTTCCACTCAACCAGGAGATGGTAACAAAAAAAACAAATAAATAATTACAGTAAAAAACAAGGTAACAAACAATGGAACCACAGAACTCAATATGTTGCCATTAAGCAATAAATCAATTGTGTGATAAATTAAAACTCAATCATCTTTATTTTCATAATTGATAGATTTTCTTTTTTCTCTCTTTCTACCAAAAACTGCATGATAAAAGTCTTCAGTCTGGTGTTTTTGTCTTAACTAGTTCCATTTTTGAAAAACAATTTTGTTTACAAAGAGTTCATTATTCATTTTATTTGTTGTTTTTGTTGTTTTGTCTTTTTATTTGGGGTATTTAAAATCTCTTCCAGTTCCAGTGTGAAACCTTCATTAGAACTGAAAACCTTATTGATCTTTGACAATGTGTTCTTGCATTAATGTGCCATCGCCATTATTTTACTTGAAAATGTAATATTGTTGTAATATATTATTATGACAAAACAACAATGTTATTTGTTTATCACAATATCTGGGATCATTTATTAACTTGTAATTGTGGCAGGCCTGCAGAACACAATATTCTGATGTCTTCAGTTTCATCAAATTTCTATTCTTTCTTTTATTAGAGAAATGGAATTATTCAAGTCATTCGAATAGGCATCAAACAGGATTAAATCACAAGAGACATAGAGGAAAAGCTCTCCTTTCTAGAACGTCAACCTGCAATAAAGTGAAAACCTTCAGCAAAGAAATGTGAAAATAGAGTAAGATTATGGTATGCATATAGTATTTAATTATACAGATGGTGTTACATTTGAGTCAAAAACTGATTTTCAAAATGACTTAAAACTGGAAGGAGAGTCAACACGGGAGTCTGTAAAACTAAGATTCAGTTGTTCTGAGTCGTGTACGTGATCGAGACAGCTGCATCTGAGCCCAGAGTGTTAGACACTCAGCATCTGCTAATGCATTTCTCTGTCTGACACTAACAGTGTGAGGGACTGTCACTGTCACATTCATGACAACAGAAACACTTTTAAATATGCATGCACAGGCCCTCATGCTCATCCGCTGTGCACAAAATGCACACACACCCTGAAACACATCCACCAGCCATGCTGGGATTCGCCTGTGACAAACAACCGCAGTGTGAAGTGTGAAGTGTGTTTCTGTCTCATCAGTGGGCTGTCAGTGTGTGAGGTTGCAGTGAATGATGAATCAAGATGGCACGCCGACATCGTGCGGCGGTCCAGGTGGACTCCGCCAAGCCGCCTGTCCCTAAATTATCGCCTCCTTCTTACACTGTTGCCATCATTCACCACCTCTCAGTAGCTGCGCTCTCCCTCCAACAGCCGGTGAAAAAATGAGCTGCAGGACTGAATCCGTGTCTTAATAGATGAGGCGCACGCAGACGAGCCTACCACGAGGGACAGGCAGCAAAATCTACCAAATTCTGTTCAGGGTCCAGCTTGTCAAAAGCTGCATTCACAGGAACCAAATGTTGCTGCAGATTCATAACATGTTAGCAAAATATGAAAGCAAGTTAAAAACAGGAGGAGTCACAGGATATATTTAGAAAAATATTTTTTTTTTTTATTTTTATTTTAACCCAAAAATCATAGATGACAAAAGATAAACTGAGCTCATAAAAGAGGTCAAAGAAACAAAACTGAACTGAGGCAAAAAGTGTAAGCAAACTCGCTGCACAACAAAACATAACTGACCTAACAAAGAAATGACACACAGGGGTTTATGTACTGGCTGATCAGACCAAGACACAATAGGGGTAACTAAAAGAATACAAATAACATAAAACAAATGGTATAGCTAAGTTTGGCTAAACTAAAGACCCAAAAATAAAAATCAAAAATAAACTTTAAATACTAATGTTTACTTAAATATAAATCTTAACTAAACAAAGAACCCTGCCATTTCCTCCTGCCAACAGGAACTAATGGTGCATTCCAATTAACATTTAAACTTGCTGAGACCTGGCCATCGTCTTTTATCTGGTATCTCCAGGCAGGTAACATAGGGGTGTGGCCATGGATTTGGCCATCACAGTATTCTTTAAAGCAAATATGAAAATATGAAATCATTTGAGAGGTGAACAAATTGCTAGATTTATTTTTTATTCAGTTGGTCGGGTGAAAACGTGGAAAGTTGTGATTTCTGAGTGACTGAAGATGTAGCTGTGTTACACCTTTTTTTTCAGAATATACACTGTAATGGAAGACAGCATCAAAATCCATTGAATTAAGTTAGATACTTTACAGTAATATCAGAATGAGACTGAGAGATGATATTACCAAGATACATATCGACTTAACAACATACTACTATTGATAACATTTTTAATATTAATACTAATGTAAATAAAAGGATTGCATAATATCTTTCAATGAACTGACTGTCTTTCTTTTAACCAAGACAAATAAGATTGTAAATAATAACTCAGAAGAGGAGTGGGGTTTTCAGATGGATGAATGGTCAGTTCAGACACAGAGCACAGTAGAATTAGGAAATCAGTGGACTTGCCTCAAACACAAGGACTCTAAAGAAAAGTGGTGCTGACAAAGCTTGATGTGATGAGATGACAAAGGATCTCATCACATCAATATTAGAAAAGAATGATAAACTGAAAACTGGAACAGCAACAATGGAGACAGCGCACAGGTGCAAAACAAGAAAAAGGAAAACAAAACGAAAAAACCCTGAGGTATCATAGAACAATCAAGGAATCTGCAAAAGTATTATTCATCGTGTATGCATGTCATATGGAATGAATCACTTCTAGGATATTTTTATACCAGCTTGTCAATGTTCACTGCTGCCAGGGCTGCACAATGTATTGCAAATTTATTGTTATGACAGAATCATTCTATGCAATATGCATATTGCAAACAATTGCAACAACTCCAAGAGTTGTTGGAGAAACATTTAAGGACCACACATTCAGATTTTCTGTGCTTATGCTGAGTATAGCTGGTGGAGCTGGTCGTTATTTAGGGCTTACAAATGTTTAAAAGAAAAAAGGTGATCAGGTCATTTAAAACTGCGACTAACTTCACTGCAAAAACAGCAGATGTAACCAGTAACTTCTCTCCTTGTCGGCATTTCCAAAAAAACATATTTTTAAGATGAACATAATTAATTTTACTGTATTTTTCTAGTAGCTGGACATCATAGTTGTTTTGCAAATATTATGGAAACTCTTCTATTCAAAAGTTTATTTTCACACAGAAAAATAAGTATATAGAAATAAAATGCTATTTTAAATCAGATATACATTTACATTAGAATTTAGTATTAAAAAGCCAAAACTGGGGATGAGGAAGTACGATTCTAAGGTGATTCAAGGAACTCGGAAATTCAAAAATGAAAGGCTTCTTGTGCCTCTCTGATTGGGCATTTCTTTGCTTTTTGTTGTTGAGGAAAGACTTCTTCACGATACCACTGGAGATTAAAGGATTTCTCAAACATGCATGAAAGAATCCAGGCAACATTCCAGGTGTGTTTTTGATGAGAGAATAATGTTATGACATGATGTGAAGCTATAGCAAATCACAGTCATATAGCCACACAGAACTTGTGGACACCTTTCAAAGTTGTCCCCCTTCATTTTGAGTCTGAAGAATGTGTGTGTTTGGATGGCCAGGAGAACAATCAGTACAGAACTCAGCCGACTTGTACTGGGTATACTGGGAATGTCCACACACATGCTCAGTTATAAACCATTCGCCTTACATAATTGTAATTACAATAAAGTAATTACAATAATTACTTTATTATTGTACAATAAAGTAATTACAATAATTACTTTATTGTAATTATGTAATAATTACAATTATAATATAATTGTAATTACTTTAATTATGACAAGACTGTGGTTACGTCTTGTTGAGGGTGTGGTAAATAAACCACAGTTTTTCCTTTCACAAAATTTTACATCAACATGCCTGCAGAGGGTTGACTTTATAAAGCAGTCAGAGTATTCTCAGTCAGTTTAAGGGAACAAATGGAGTCAACTGATGCAATATGAAGATATATTGTGTGTTCTTAAGTAACTGTTGAGGAATAAGAGGAACTTCATTAATGTTTTTAAACATGTAATCACTACACTGGGGTAAGTTGCAAAATGTTAGCTGTTCTGGTTGTAGAACAAGTTAAACATGCAGAGCTAGTTTTCTGTCATGCTCTAATAAGAAGAAGCAGATACCACAATCGCCTCCTGTTCTGCCTCTTTTCTGAAGTGACTGTTCTGATTTGTTCTGTTTGTCGACTTTTCATGGTAGCTTTGGTTGATTTATTGCATGTTTGGGCAGTTCTTCACTTTGTTTTTGGATGCTGTGCAACTGGAAGGATGAGCAGTGCCTCCATGGCTGCAGCCCCAGGCATCTGTCTCCCTTTGGATGGGCTCTGAAATGAAATTGTGTTGTGCTTTTGCTCAACTAAATGGAGCATTCTATTCTATTCTATTCTATTCTATTCTATTCTATTCTATTCTATTCTATTCTATTCTATTCTATTCTTTGTTTAATTTACTTTTAAACAGTTGTTCTGTTGCATAACCAAGAAAACAAGGTCTTGTTTTTACAACTGGGAGCTGCTGATTTGCATCTCAACAACTCAACTAACACATGACTTCTGACCCAAATCTTCAAAACGTGTCTTCCATCCATCATGATGGACCACTCAGTCTTTCTAACCAAACAGTCAGACAGACATTTAAAGAGGAACGGTCAGAGCAAATGATGCGGATTAGCAGTTCTTGATAAAAAAAAAAGGAGTTCAGGACAGGACATTGTTATAAAATACCATTACTAAATAGTTATATTTAGTTATATAGTTAACTTAATAGAAACTCCAGAAATGTGTCACAGAAATGTGTTTGTGTTTTGGGAAATACCCTATCATGTAAGTTTTCAGCTATCGATTCCAGCTATCCAAAGCTCTGTGAGTAAATTCTGTTCTTTGTAATCCTTTTAGGGATTTCTTGAGGAGCTGGAAGTAAGCAGAAGAAGAGGAGGCCATGCTCCCGCCACAAATCACAGCCAGAGTGAGCTCAGCGTGTGTTTGAGGACAACAGTCTCCCCTTTGGCCCATCCGGTCCGCTCGCTGTCCAGAACCAAAAGCATAAAGCAGTTGACACCACAGAGAGCCATGGCCTTCACACTGTCAGAGATCATGGCGGCAAGGCGGCAACAGACCCAGACCCATTCACACACTCAGAGAGGCAGCAGGGCGGCTGTGGAGGTAGACGAGTACAGCACCAATCCCACACAGGCCTTCACCTTCTACAACATCAACCAGGGCCGCTTCCAGCCACCGCATGTCCACATGTGAGTAAACTGGAGAAAAAAAGTTGCGGCCATGTTGGCCACCATCTCAGGATACCACTGTCATGAGTTTCCAAATATTCCACAGTCAGCTGTTAGCCATATTGTAACGAAGTTGAAGCGATTGGTAACTGTGTTAGGCCTCAGAACATTACAGAGCAGTCAGTGGATAGCAGGTTTCTGTAGCTACAGTCCTCCAAGCTTCATGTAGTCTTCACATGGATAAAGAACAGCAGAGAGCTTCATGGAATGGATTTCCACTGCTGAGTCATTTCCAAGCGTTACATCAGCGAGTGCTCTCTGTCCGTCGCTGAACTCTGGAGCTGTGGAAACATGTCATGGAGAGGAGTCAGGGGTTGGACGTTAGCAGCAGAAAGGTGCTGGGCTGCGTGTGTGTGTATGGTTTGGTGGTACGGGGTTACTGCAGGAGGTATACCTTTTATTGCAGTAAAAAGAATTTATAATGTTTCTTCTTATAAAAACATTTTGGATCATTCCAACAGCTTTGAGATGTAGAACTGATCTAGTTTAGACCAGTTCACACTACACGATTTTAGAAAAGTCTACCGATTCTGAAAACGTGAGAGAACACACACTAGCCGATTTAAAATCGTAGGTGTAACGGGTTCGATCGTAGAGTGTGAGGTTTCACTCGAAGACATTCTAATTCCAGATACGAACAAACATGGACAACGACGTTGAAGTGGTAACTTTAGTTTGCAGACTTATGTTATCCCAAAAAAGACGTAACCAAAAATCAAATCTTTGGATTAAGAACTGGAGACATCGCGAGCAAGGATTATATTTGTTGCATCGCAACATGGAGGTGAGGTTTTTTCTTTTTTCATAAAAAATACTTTTTAATGTTTTCGGTTTTGTCTTTAATTAACCGTTACCGTTTACGTATAATTTTATAATTTTGTGCATATATGCATAAACTGTACCTTGTTTCAGAAAACGGAATGACTGAAACATCAGAGCAGTTTAAAGTAGAAGAAAGCATTTCCTGCATATTCGTTTTTAGAAAATCAGATGGCAGTTATCCTTTTTTCCTCCCAACTGACCGCGAAAGCTTAAGGTATTCCAGCTCTTTTAATTGAAACTTATTGTATTGTTTAAAATTGTATTATGACTGCAGAATAAAATCAAATGTGCCATTTCAACCAAAAATTGGAATGCGCTTTTCAACCAGATGTACTCTGTGCAATAATTTTATAATTATCTTTTCATTTAAACCCACAACGATCCAATAGCATGCTGCTCCAAATAAGGATAACGTTTTACTTATGGTTTTATGAGATGTAATTACCTCTAAAGCAAGATGATTAAACACGTTCAATATCCCATTTTAGATCAAAGCGGTTCCGACGTTCCACCGACAGGACCCGATCAGTCGTAACACACCACGCACTACAGGATGATCGGTTACGATTGTCGGAAGCGACAATCTTAGAACTCAGAACGTTCTAAGATTGTCGTAAGGGCAAAATCGGGCAAAAAAATCGTGTAGTGTGACAGTTCTGCTGACCCGTCTCGCAGCTACCCGTCCTCTCTAGACGGTGCTAAGTCACTCCTCCTGGCTCTGATTGGTTGTAGAACCACAGAGAGGAGACGGAGTAGCTCATATTTGGTGGTTTAAAAAATATATAAAAGACATATTTTTAAAAAAAGTTACTGCAGCCTAAGAAATTATTTTGTATAATTAATAGAGTCTGAAGCATCTGCCAGTTTCCGTGGAATGAAACTAATCATAGACGAAAAAAAAAAAAAAAAAAAAAAAAAAAAAAAAAAAAAATATATATATATATATATATATATATATATATATATATATATATATATATATAATATAATTCTGCTGCCAGTTGAGGACCATATTCATTAGCATGTCAGTAGAATGAGAATGTTAAAGTGAACCTTAGGATTTTCTTACTGCGCTTAGTTTACTTTACTTTACTTCTCATGACTGTCTGAGATTCATGTCTGCTGCTGACATTCTAGAAGTGGGATGGTGGGTGGTAGTGATGGTGGGTTAGGGTGTGGTGGGACGGCAGTGTGGAGGAGAAAGGGCTGTGTGGATCCGAAACTGGGGGAAACTTCCTAAAGTGGGCCATGGTTATTCACCATCTCCCTGCTTCCCTGGAGACCACATGAATGTACATGCTCACTGAAAATCCCGCAGGACTCTACATTTTTCTATATCTGTACTTTATTCTTTTTCTATTTTTGTACGATTCTTCAGTGTGTCTCTGTGCTGTGCTTTTATTGTGGCCTCTCGTTCCCACCTCTTCCCAAGTCTCCTGGTTTCTCCTCAGTCAGTGGGGATGTTTTTTTTTCTTTTGGTTGGATACTAATTTAAACTTCTTTTCTTGTCAGCCTCCTTCTGCAGAACTTTTGGGAACACCGTTATTTACCTGTACACTTTACACATGCAGTGACACGTTTATCATGGACCCTCAAACTCACCCTTGACTTTGTTAATTTCTTCCTTCTTAGGGTGGACCCAATGCCTCACGACACTCCCAAACCTCCAGGCTACACACGCTTTGTGTGTATTTCAGACACTCATTCACGAACAGACGCCATCCAGATGCCATATGGAGATGTGTTCATCCACGCTGGAGATTTCACCGAGCTTGGGCTGCCCTCTGAGGTCAAAAAGTTCAATGACTGGCTAGGTTAGTAAATGGGTGTTTAAATTTCAGCACTGGGATTCTATGGGCAGTTTAAGTACAAATCACATGCAGCACTTTTTAAAACTTTAAAGTAAAAACAATATTACTGTTTATTTCAGTGCATTTTCTCAGCATGATGTTGTTTTTTTGTGCATTTTGTAACATAAAATACACAAAACGTTTGTGTATTTTGCTCTTATCTAATTTGACTTATTCTCTTATAAGCACAAGGACGTCTGAGTACGTTCATAGAATTTTTAGATTCAGGGCAGAATCTCTGCTTTCTTATTTTCTAAACCTTTAAACAGAAAAGAAACCCTTTGTTGCAGCCAAACCACTTAGATGTACAGACTGAACTGAAATGACTTCAGTTGACAGTGAAAACTTTAACAAAAGGTTTACAAAATGCTCAATTTGTTGAAAAAAAAATGCTCATTATTAACTGAAATGTGAACCTTCAGGTCAGATTTTAGCCCGTGTCGTTCATGAGTACGAATGTTAAAATTAATTTAACTTCAGTGGACTTACAGTCGAATCTGTGTTGCAATGTTTTACCAAATGTCAACATATTTCAATTCATAATCAAATCCAACTGACCAGTTTAACAAACATGTAGAAAGAGAAAAGTGTGCTGATGGTCCTAAACATGCAGGTGGCAGTTCAAACAGGATCTACAGTTTTTAGCACTGGCCAATATTTGAATGGTGGACAAAGAAAGACAATTAAAAATGTCAAAATGCCCAAAGAGCAGGAGGATCTACAGTTTTATGCATGCTTTGACTTTCTAATAGGAAATGTTGTCTCTAAATATTTTCTGGATTTTTTTTTGTTGTTTTGAGAGAATCTATTTTTTAATTCCATTTCAACCTCCTGCTCTGATGTCCTCCACCAAGAAGCATCTCATCTCCATTGAGTTAGCAGCTGCTGGAAGTTATCAGCTGTCAGGAATGAAGAATCTGTACAAAACTGGGTTGCAAAATGGAAAATGAAACAGTAGCAGCTCGATCATAATTATTGCTGCCTCAAAAACCTTCCCAGGTCTGTTATGTGAAAGTATGTGAGCCTCTGTGAGTTAATCTCACTCTCTGAGGGGGAGAGGGGATGTCCTGTCCTTCCCGTTTACCCACTCACGTATATAAAAGCTGTGGGGAGTGCAAGTTGCTCGGTGCATTGCTATGCTCCAGCATCGGGCCAGCTAATAGGAAAGATGGGGATAAGAAGGTAAAATGAGCTAAAAGCACCTGCTGCCACCTCTGAAGTTTCACTCCTTTCTCTCCTTTCCTTCATCGCTCCTCTCCTTTCCTATTATTTCCTCCTCTCCTGCAACTCTACCATCTTCCTCCTCTCATATAAATATTTATGATGTGGCTCTGTTTGCGGCCTTTTCACTGATGAATGCGACTCCTGCTGCTTCCTGTGCAGAACAGATTCACAGTATGATCAGCTGTAGTCTGATCCCTAACCCCTGATTCTGAAACAAACAGCACTTCTTTTTAAAGGGCTTTGGGCCCCGTAAGATGAAGTTGGTCCTCACAATGTAGCATTTGACAAAAAAATGGGCCTCCAAGGCGAGAAATGCTAAACAGACACGTGTCCTTTTCTCAGTGACTGACAGCAGTAACTATATGGTTTTCTGTGACAATGACAAAGATAGGGGGTGGGAGATCATGGAATCAACCTTCAGGTTTTAAAACTCTGAGCTCCTCCACCTACAAAAAAAGACCAGATTTACTGTACCTCCACAGTCCCATCATCTCCTTCATGTCCAATCACTGTCCCTGCATGAATTTCAACTCCTACCTCTTCACTCATTCCCTCTTCCTCTGTCTGCCTGCCTCTCCTGCAATGCTGCCATCCCCTGACAAAAGCCTTGAGTGGATGCCAGTCCCCCGCCCTCAGAGCCGTCTGACTTACTGCTAAAAATAAAAGCAAAAAGAAGAATTGCACCAAGTGAAAGGGAGTAAAATGGGGTAGAACTGGATTGGGAGGAAGCTGGCTGGAAAATGTGAGGGAAAAAGAGGTATGGAAAAAAATGAAGACTGTAGAGAAAGAAGAATGAATAGGAGAGATGATGGGAGGAAAAGAGAAAGGGCAATGAAAGTAAGGAAAAGGTAAGTTTAAGAGCAGAATAATTTGTCACCGGGGGTTAGGTTTAGGGTAGAGGTCCCCAAAGTCGGTCCTCGAGGGCCGGCATCCTGCATGTTTCAGTTCTCTCCCTGATTTAACGCACATGGCTCAAATGATGGCTCGTTAGAGGCCATAGAAGAACAATGACATTCTGAAAAGGTTTTCACTACCACCAAGGAGAGAACTAAAACATGCCGGCCCTTGAGCGCCAACTTTGGGGGTCCCTGGTTTAGGGTTTAGGGTCAGGCATACTGGTAACAGGTTTAGGGTATGGTCTGGGTTGGGCAGTACAAATGAAGAAAATGTCAATGTACACTTCTTGTGAAGTTAGAAAGATATTCTATATGTGGTGTTGTTATAGCATTCTGGCCTTCCAGTTGTTGAGAAACACAGGCATGGACTGTGTTGAAGTTTAAAATTTTACCCAATCTCTAAAATTTGTCCGTGATGTATGTAAAGTGCCAGTTTGATGATATGAAGTTAACCAGAAAATGCCTGCGCTGTTAAAAAAAAACATCCTCCCATGTGAAGAGAGAAGAGCCAATCCAAACAAGGCAGGTGTTTATGTTAATTTAATATTTTGAAGCATAATCAACATGGACTGAACAGCTTCATTCACTTCCTCTGCTGCTATTACTAAAACGACAGACAGACTACGACTCTAAAACGGAGCAGAAAATCAACTTCATTGTTCATAACGTCAGTCAGAAATCAACCAGAAAGAATTAGAGCCAATGGGAGAAAACCCTGAATGTGCCAAAGGCAATTTTTTTTTGTGGAACTGCAGAGGTTAGTTACACTTTAAAGAGTCATATCCTGATTTCAAAAATAATGGCGATTGATTTTTATCAGTTCAACAGCTTTCTATTAATATCTATCGATCTATAGATTGTTCGTATCTATAGATAGATATAGACACGTGGTTGTGTGTGTCTATCTATCTTGACAGACACAGCCACCCAGGCACACCCACTAGAAGGAAACAAACATATGTTCCAGGAGGCTCCCACTACACAGGACAACACCTTCATTCTACTGACTGGAACCAACTGTACTTTTTCGTTTTGAGAGAGAGCAGAAAGGGTGAGCTGAGAGGTTTGCCAGCAGAAAGTCAACCCATGCAGAGTGAAGTTTTGTATACAAGGAGAAAATCTGAGCGTGAATACAAATATTTGAGAGAACAGACGTTTTGAGTGCAAGCATTACAAGTTTTGAGAACAAAGAAATTAATTTCTGTTTTTAAACTAAAAATGTTTACTCTTCTTGACTTATGGCAGTAGAATTCCTCTATAGCTATCACCCTGTCACACAACTGATTGACAGAGATGGAAAATAGAGCAAGAGAAATTAAATAACTCAGTTAAGTCACTCAAAGCAAAACATTCAGAGAAAATACATGAGAAGGTGGAGGTGACTTACTCCATGCAATGACACTAATGCTTTCTGCTGTTTCCTTGCCTCCTTTTTCAAACATCAGAATTTGATCCAGCATATATGACTGATGAGTGAGACAGAAGCTGAATGTGTAGTGAAGGTACACAATGTTTTTCATCAGTAGTGCTGTATTGTGAAAATGCCAGGAACTGTAGAAGAGGTTCTGTATAATAAAATGGTCTACCAAGAAATCACAATCTGACATAAATATGTTATAAAAGTATTACTGATTAAACTTTAAAAATTATGCAGCTTTATGTTGTTAAAGCTAAAGTTTAATCAGTAATACTTTTATAACAAATTTATGTCAGATCACAATTTATGTCATAACAAAGACATCTTGAATAATGTCAACTTTGTATTTAAAGTGTCATGATTTACCAAATGACACTTTATGACAAGAGTCATGAATATTCATGAAGACTTACTCATGTTCATTACAGATGTTATGTCATGTTTATGATGGTGTCATGACAGTCTTATTCGCAACCTGTCAAATAAAGTGTTACCCAACTTTGTAATGGAGTTGTACTTTGATAGAACTAACTTTCCAAGATATTTTTTGCAACTATTTTTCAGTTTTTAAAGTTTTAAATATTTCACATATTGTTGTGTTCTTACAGTTTTGGACTACAGGTGATCAACTTATCATTTGAAATTAAATCTGAGAAATTTAAAACATTAGTGACATTGGAATTTATTTCAGAGTGACATAACCATTTCAAGTATTTATTTGAATGCTTGAAATGTATTTGATGATCAAATACTTTTGAGGATTCTGGTGAAGAAAACTGAATTTTGTTTGTTCATTAGTTGTAAGCCACGATCATTTCAATTTATAGAAATAATATTTAAATGTTTAAGAGTAAATTCAGTTCACTCTTTACATAAAATTAATTTATTGAGATGCATCTACAGTTTTCTTTTCAGGCCAGGCTTGGAGTGCTAAAAGTCCTCCATAAAATGTGATTAAATTGGCTGAATTTGTAACTCATCATCCTGAAATTAACATTTAAACAGTGTGTTCAGATACACAAGTTATTTGGTGTACAATCAATAAGGAGCAACTATCATTTTGCATTTAGGTACAAATTCCATCCCAAGACGAGCTCAGAGAGCTGCAGGGCATTCAGTGTGAGACTGTCTGTTTCACTCTGTTTTTCATTTGCCACTTGCTGTCCATTCATTTTCTGTTTAGTGGTGTTCAGACAAACAACTTCCACCCCTTTCCCCTGGCTCTGTGCGGCTGGACTTCACTCCTCTCCACACAGAACCTGAACCTGTTGTGTTCCATTAGAAGGCTGACAGCTGAGGTTTTGGCTCGAAGGCCTGTCTCCAGCTGCTGCAGTCATTCTCTGTTAACTGTTACTGTGCGCAAAAGCTGCTTCATGGTGGTTTTGGGGCAATGCTTGTGCATTTGAACAGCTGATTTATTATTACAA